ATTTTCATGGAACTACGTATGTACGTAATACCTTTGTAGTGGATATAAGATCAGGAAATCATCAAGTTAACAAACCCGCGTAACGTGAGCGGTTATATTTTTCTTTTTAATATTTGACACGAAGACTCTTAGAGCCACTGAAGGATCTGCTTCCTGCTCTGATGAAGCCCAACTTAGAGCCCGTATCGTCGCTTTTCTTATTAGCGCCGTCTCGAGTGTCAAGAGAGAGAGAGAGAGAGAGAGCAAGTACTTTCGGCGCGTCACGGCATCGAGCACATCGCAGAGCGCTTCGCTGAATAACACAATGCAAATGCGAATGTATCAGCCCTGGCTGAGCACAGCTACTATTCGAACAACTTATGCGAATCGTTCACCGTTTATAAAGATTTCGAAAGTTCCTCCATGCTTTCAACTACTTAGTGATCCACTGTACTAAATTCGAAATGTGTTCTTTGGAATGTCGGTGGAATTTCGATATCGCCATCTTTTGCTATTTTCATTTCAGTAGACGAACTCTTCCGCCGTGTACTTGGACTTCGCACCCGACCATGGGTAAGAGACGACTCTAAGCCTTTCATCCAGTTTAGTTACTACTCTCCTCTTCCTTTCTCTCTCGTGGCTCCTTGCGCGTTGATCAACTCAGGCTGAGGTCGCCGTCGCCACCGCTGGCACGAAAACTTCTTAACAATCTTCACAGCGCACCGCCTCGAGTCTTCCGACATTTTACAGTTAATTAAACTTTGGTGGCGCAAGATGGCCGGCCGCAGGAGTCTTTTGCTTCTTGGCGGAACCCGACCTCCCTCAAGCCAGCATCGTCACAAAAGAAAATCATGAGTGTAGACTCGTTTAGGCTAACTTAATGTTCTGACGCCATTAAAAAAATGAGAAACATTAAATTCAGCAACGGAGCATTAATCCAGCCTAAACTATTGAGTATTTTGTAGGTCTTTTTCCGATTTTCCCTTATAGCGGTACTAGCTTGAAAAAGGTTGAGAACCGGAAGAGGTCGCGATCCTGGACTCGAAGGCCTGCACGGTCCAATAGATTTGCGTGCGTAGACTGATATACATATGTATAAACCTAGTGATTTCTCTTGAACGCCCTCACCTTACTTATGGATTACATGTATCGGCACTTCGATTCTCGGCAAAGCGTAACCAGCGCCCCAAACATTCTCCGATCCAAATCGAGTTCAACTTTATCCATGACCACGCTTCGGAATCTTACCAAAAACTTCATGTCGGATCAGATTATGTGCGACGGCCCAGTGTGTGAAGATTCGCCAAATGCCACTCTACTCTACTTTCTCTCTTTCTCTCTCTCTCTCTCTCTCTCTCTCTCTCTCTCTCTTTCGTAAATTCAAAGTCCCGCTCGTCACACTTATTCTCAACAAGTCTTCCCAATATCCAAAGGCTGGCGAAAAACCTTGCGATGTTATTTTTGTTTTCTTTGAGATCATTGTCTAAGAAACTCGAAGAGCTTGGAAGTTGGAAGTTTGTTGGTTAAGTCGGTCTCCAGTGAACATTAGTGTGCTCTGGAGTCTGGCGTGCAGGAAAAGGGCCACGCAGTTTAGTAATTATAAACTTCATTAAAATTCACTAGGAGTGCGAGAAGCCATTAACGTCCGTCGGGAGAAGCCGGAGACCAGAAAACAGGGTCCAGGGGCCAGTAGGAAACAGCAGTAGCCAGCAGCCAGTAGCCAGTAGCCAGTAGCCATAGCTACGACATGTTGGGCCACGTCGCTTAAGATGCGTCATGAGTCTGGAAGACCATCAGAGACGACGGAAAACAATTTCAACTCTTCCCCCTCGAAGCGTTCACCCTCGAGAATCCAGCCTCTAGAAAAACTCATCCAACTAGCCGAAATTCTCGTCACGCAACCTGCCGGTACGAAAGTGAACGAACGAAAGAGAACATTTCTTCGTGCTCTATCTAGCTGGCATCAAGCAGCACGAGACAGCACGTAACACCAGTGTCAAATTTCATTCTCTCGTGCCTCCATCGACTGTCAGTACATATTCGCTCGAAGGGACAGTCCACGACGACCTCCCCCCTAGCCCCTCCTCTCCCTTGCTTCCTTTGTGAATTAATGCAACCTGGTTGCTCGAGTACGATGCAAAAGCGATTCTAAGAATCGTCCTCGCCTACAATTTACGCCCCTTTGACGAAGCGCCCTTCTTCGCCGTAAGGCGCAGAAAACTAATTTAGCCATTCCTTTACATTGCACTTTAGTCTTGGGAAGCGAAAACTTTGTTTCGTGCCAAATTCTCTAGCTCGAAGAGGACTGTGCGCCTCAAAAGGCGATCTCTCAGGAGTTATCAAGGAAAGAGATGGGAATAAAATGCAATATATTCTAAGGGTTCTGAGGGTTCTCAGTCTTCTGACACGTTCGACGAAATCTCGAGCCTCGGGGTCAAGATTCGAGGTTGCTCCCCAAAGAGAAATGATGCGACTAGATCAACGCTGGAGAATAAGGAAGAGTATGAGTGACTGATCGAATGAAAGCAGTCGCAAAGGAGAAATGAAAAAAGAAAGGATAGCGCACAAAAGAGGTGTCCTACTAGCACAAATCACGTCAAAGTGCCAAAGTGCCAACAGCGAACAGCCAGGGGAATGTCTGTGTGTAAGTGAAAGTTTAAGAAAGGGCGAAGAATGAAAAGAAAAGGTGTAATACACGAATTGAGTGGGGAAGAAACCAAAGGGGAAGACCCTGTAAAAAATGAAGGAACCGCAAAATGCAGAGCTGCAAGCGAAATAGAATCCGAGTTGAAGACCCGTGGAATAAGGCGAACTTTAATGTGAAAGAAGGTTCCTCGTATTTCGCAGCGCGTTTCCGATCCTCTGGAAAATAAGAAAGACAAATAGCTTCAAAGGTGCGCACCAAGGTATTGCATGATACGTGTACGAATGCGAAAGTGTAGCCGAACACACCGCACGCGTGCACGCTGGGTCCTCTCGTTGTCTCGCTGGCTTATTATTATTAGTTAGGGCTTCGGAGAACTCCTTGTGCTTGCTTCCTGCCTACGAGCACCAGTAGGCCATGCGAAGGTCCTGCCAGAAATCCTTGGCCGCAGTTCGCGGGACTGCAACTTAGAATCTTAAGATTTGGCGATTTTAAAAGGGAGCTCCGAAGAGAAACAAAAGAGAATACTGATGAACCGAAGGAACGAGAAGAAAACCGGAAGCACAGGCACCGACAAATACAAATGAGAAATGAGTTTGTTTGTTCGGTTGTTCGGTTGTTCGGCGACGGAAGCTGGAGAAGGCACGTGGTCAGGGACCCTCTGTAGCGCGGAAATCGTCAATGGCCTAGAAAGTAATATAAAGTGAAGCTACCTCGGCTTTGCTCGAACCGTGTGTCGCTCTACGAAGCCGTGTAGTCACGTGTGGCCATGGAAGCGTACGAGGACGAGGACGAGGACGAGGACAAAGGAAATGACGTGTCCGGGAGGAGAAAAGGGAAAAAGAAAGAGAAGCGTAAAGTGCAAAGCGTCACTTATCGGCCCTTCAGGTCCCCCATTACTCTAAGAGCACTCTCTGCTATTACCAATAAACGAAATAGGTATGTGTGCCTAGGCTACGGCCTCTGCCTCCGTTTCACTCTCGTCAGACTTGCGATGCAACGTAAACGGCTCCTTTTCCGTTCCGTCTCGCTTCCACCCCCCCCCCCCCCCCCCCCCCC